CTGAAGGTATATTTTTAAAAGCGTGGGTTTGGCACAAAGAATAAACTGGATGGTTGCCAGAGTTAGGGGAGAGGTGGGAGGATGGTCAAAATGCGTGAGAGGGAGTGGGAGATACAGGTTTCCAGTTACATGGTAGCTATACTTGTGAGTACAGCATAATATTAACCGTTGAAACTATGTTGTACCTGAGGCTAACATAAAATTGTGTTTCAACTACAGTCAAATAAAATAAAATTATTTTTAAGTGAAAGGAATAAAACAGTTTGCTGAGAAAGAGATTGAATCACCTCACATAGACCAATGAAAGGTTACTGTTTGGGGAATACTGTTCTAGTCTTCATCTCCACAAAAGGTGAGACAGGGCTTAAAGTAAGGTAAGGAAATAGAAATTATCTGTAATGAAGAAATTCTGACCAGGTGGTAAGGCATATGTTACGGGCTGAATTGTGCCTCTCCCCACCAAAAAAATAAATAAAAATCAAATGTTGAAGCCCTAACCCCTTCATACCTCAGAATGGGACTGTATTTGGAGATAGGGTCTTGGAATCTTTTTTTTTTTTAAGTTTATTTATGGGGGGTTGGTGAGAAAACTTGCACATGATTGGGGGGGAGAGAGAGAGAGAGAAAGAGAGAGAGAGAGAGAGAGAGAGAGAGAGAGAGAGAGAGAGAATCCCAAGTAGGCTCTACTCTGTCAGCACAGAGTCTGAGGAGGGGATCAATCCCACGACTGCAAGATCATAACCTGAGCCAAAATCAAGGGTCCAATGCTTAACCGACTGAACCACCCAGGCACCTGCTGGAGATAGGGTCCTTAAAGAGGTGATTAAGTTAAATGAGGTCATTAGGCTGGACCCTAATCCAATATGATTGATTGGTGTACATAACTAAAAGAGTAGATAGATTAAGACACACAAAGAGACATCAACAATGCACATGCACAGAGAAAAAGTCATACGAGGACACAGCAAGAACACGGCCACGTACAAGCCAAGCAGAGAGGCTTTAGAAGAAACCAACACTGTCGACACCTTGATCTCAGACTTGTAGCCTCCAGAACTGTGAGGAAATACATTTATGTTGTTTAAACCACCAAGGCTGTGATACTTTGTTACGGCAGCTGATGGGGTTCAGGACATGCTACTCCAAATGTGGTACCTTGGCATATTAAATATTTTAAGGTGAAGACATTTTGAAAAAAAATGGCAGAAGCAGGAAGGTCACTCAGGTCCTAAAACCCTCATGTGAGAGGTGCCTCCCTATACTTGGAAGAAAGGAGCATCCTTATCTTTGAAGACAAAGGGACACTGAAAGGAATCCAAATAGGTTTGCTAAGTTTCCCCCAGAGTATGACACTTACCTCATACTCTTTAACCTATCATATTTCTCCACAACTGTCCATTCTTCATCAAACCACCATAGCAATATTCAACTCTGTTTTTTCAGGTCTTCATTTTCTTGTGAAGGCTCCCGTGCCATATAAAACTTGTATTAAATCAATAGGTATCCTTTTCTCCTGTTTTAAAAAAGTGTGGCTTTGGGACCTTTATTTACTAATTTTTAAAAAGTAGAGAGAGTCATACTATATGATTTCAACTATGAGACATTCTGGTGAGTAAATAGTAAAAAGCTAATGGCTGCCAGGGTATTCAGAGGGAGAAGAGAAGGACTGAATATTGATGCACCTGGGGATCTGGTCAGGCAGTAAAACTATTCTAACACTGTAACGGTAGATACATTGACATTATGAGTTTGTCAAAACCCATAGAATTTTATAGAACAAAGAATAAACTTTAGTGTATATAAAATTTTTTAAAAATCATTTAGAAGATTTGGAGGTATCAGGAAAGAATCAGACCATGACAAGAAAATCTAACTGTATTACAAATGTATGAAACAACCTCACTGGAAGGGAGTCAAGGGGAAGAAGTGCTGACTTAAGTAAATATAGAAATGAGTGGAGTCTATAAGACTAAAGGCAAAACAAATGGCTTATAAGCACTGTAAGTGACAAAGTTATTTCCCATAGGAGTATAAGAGTAAGGGATAATCATTCAGATACTGCCATACATGTGTACTGTAATGGAACGATAAATAAATGGATGAATAGTGGGAACCAGGTTTCCCAATGTTGGTGTGGGAAGTTTTGGAAGAGCAAGAGGAAAAGCCTAGTTAGAACTGGAGATACCAGAGGCACCTGGGTGGCTCAGTCAGTTAAGCGTCCGACTCTTGATCTTGGCTCAGGTCACGATCTCACCGTTGGTGAGTTCAAGCCCTGAGTCAGGCTCTGCTGCTAACAGCATGAAGCCTGCCTGGGATTCTCTCTTTCTCCTCTCTCTGCCCCTCCCCCACTTGCGTGCGTGCTCTCTCTCTCTTTCTCTCTCTCTCTTAAATTAATTAATTAAAAGAAAAAAAAAAGAATTGGAGATACCAGCATGCACTCATGTTTAGCTTAATACAGACACATAATGGTTACACATAGAAATAGTTACACATGTTATAAATATGCACAATATATAATATATAAACACACACACACACAAACACACACACACATAAGCATATCTTTCCTTACTCCATTGGCAGAGAAGACCTAAAAGCAATACACCAGTAATGAAAAGCACAAGTAGCACCAAAATTACAGTGGAGAAATCTAACCTACATTACCTCAGCCAGATGATCAAGGTCAGTATCAATAGTGATAAATCATGTTGATAGTATGGACCTTTGATATAATATGATTTAAAAATTGGTTTTATCTCTGTGACCTTCCTCCCAAAACCCACAATTCCAATCTAATCACAAGAAAAACATCACACAAATCCAACAGATGGCATTCTATGAAATACCTGACCAGTATTCCAAAAAACTAGCAAGGTGTTCAAAAACAAAGAAAGCTGAGGCTGTCATAGCCAAGTACTGCCTATGGAAACATGACAACTAAATGCAATGTGGTATCCTTGATGAGATTCTGGTACAGAAAAAGGACATAAGATAAAAACTAAGGAAATTTAAATAAACTATGAACTTTAATTAATAAAAATTCATCAATATTAGTTCATTAATTATAACAGATACACTATATTAATGTAAGATGTCAAGATGGGAAACTGAGTATGGGGTGTATGGGTACTCCCTGTACTATCTTCCCAATATTTTTATAAAACTAAAATTATTCTAAAATAAGAAATCTGTTTTTAAAAAAGCAAAAAGTATCTTATAGAATCATTCAAAGCAACACCAATTTGAATGCCATAGCTGGATAATCATGTAATAATTCATCTTTTTTTTTTTAAATAAGCCATCTTCTTAAGAGAGAACACCTATTTATAACATAATGTCAACAGCAATCAGATAATTCTGTTTATTAAGTTGCTATGTCTGAGTGTCTTTTGGGATTCTTGGACTCAATTTCAATGTGTGTGAGGGGGATTCCCTTCATACCAACAAACAATTCTCGGACACCATCGGTGTTCTCTGACACCATCTAGCCAGAGACAGCATTAGGTTCTACAAGTTAAGAGTTCAGTCCTTCAAGAGTGCCACCCTCAACTTCAGATGCCAGTTGCAAGCTGAGGCTGTTATCTGTACTTCTGACCAACCAGATGTAAATTACAGGTTCCGAAGTCTCACTCCCTTGGGTTGGATTAATTTGCTAGAGCAGCTCACAGACTCGGAAGAACATTTTACTTACTAGATTTCCTGTTTATCATAAGAAGATATAACTGAAGAACAACCAGACGGAAGAGCTGCATGGGACAAGGCTTGGGGAAAGAGCTCCCATGCTCTATCCATGACACCAGTCTTCCAGCACTTCCATGCATTCACCGACCCAGAAGCTCTCCAAACCCTGTCCTTGTGGTTTTCCTGAAGGCTTCATTATATAGGCATGGTTGATCAAATCATTGGCCTTTGATGATGAATTCAACCTCCAGGGCTTCTCCCCTCCCCAACCGGATCACAAGGTTGGTTCTCCTGGAAAGCACCCCCCAGCCTTAGGTGCTTTCCAGAGGTCATCTCATTAACATGACATAAGACACCTTTGTCATTCTCAACACTTAGGAAATTCCAAGGGTTTGGGGAACTGTGAGCCAGGGACTGCGGAGAAAGACTAAATATATATGAGAGATACAGTAGTCCTCTTTTATTCGAGAGGATATATTCCAAGATCCCTAGTGGATGCCTAAAACTGCAGATAGTACAGAATCCTATATATACTATGTTTTTTCTTATATATACATATCTATGATAAAGTTTAATTTATACGATAGGCACACAAAGAGATTAGCAACAATAATAAAATAGAACAATTATAACAATACACTGTGATAAAAGTTACATGAATGTGGTTTCTCTCTCTCAAAATTTCTTATTGTACTGTACTCACCTTTATTCTTGGGATGATGTGAGATGATAAAATGCCTACATGATGAGGTGAGGTGAAGGATGTAGGCATTGTGATGTAGCCTTAGGCTCCCGTTGACCTTCTGATAATGTCAGAAGGGGGATCACCTGCTTCTGGACCGAGGTTGACCTCAGGTAACGAACTGCAGAAAGCGAAACTGCAGAAAGGGGGAACTACTGTATATTTTGGGCATCTAAACGGCCAACTATCTATTTCTTATAAATCACAGTATCACAGAGTGTGTCCTCCCAAAATTCATATGTCGAATTCTTACCCCCAAAGGTGATGGTATTAGGAGGTGGAGCCTTTGGAAGGTGATTAGTGCCTTGTAACAAAGGCTCCAGGAGCCCCTTCTGCCACTAGAGGATATAAGAAGTTATAACCTGAAAGCGAACCCTCACCCGACACGTTGGCACCGTGATTTTGGACTGCCATCCTCTAGAACTGTGAGAGATAAGTTTCTGTTATCCATAAGCTACTCAGTGTGTGGTATTTTGTTACAGCAGCCCAAATGGACAAGACGTAAGCATTGCAAAATTATTGTCTTATTCGATGCTCACCACACCTCTGAGAAGAATGAAAAAAAGAGGGAAAAAAATCAGTCCTGGTTTGTATTTATTGAAAAACATAAGAGATAATAAAATGTAAAATTTTTAATCAAAATGCACATGAAATGAATAAAGCAAATACCATGGAAAATGCACCATACAATTAAGTAGGCATATTTCTTAACATTTGAGAGGTTACTTGGATGCATTTCTCCCTGGTGAAACGTGGTGCCTCTTTACGGGGCATTCTCATTATCTAGCCTTTCCTGTGTCTATAAATCTCTATGTGGACACCCATAGGTAATGCTAATACACTGGGTCCTACTTCCCAAATGACCTTGATTGTAGCTTCCCAAATCTGAAAACAAAAATTTAAATAAGTTTCATTAAATTGAATATTTATGCCTTATATACCACACAGTAAGTTCTATTTTTTTTACGTTTAAAATTCAAATAAATTTTTTTAGATTCTAAGATATTTGGAATACGTAACAATAAAAATTCCAAAAATCCAATAACTTCTTGACAGCTTAAGAAGCTAAAATTCAAGAAGTTTTTACTCAGGAAATACCTTGTGGATCAACTCAGTTTAGGGATGTCCACAAAGCACCTGAAATTGGCCACTGCGTCCATTAGCTGCTTTGTGTCTGACCTATGGCTTGAGGGAGCAGCTCAGGTTCCTGAGCAGACCAGGGTTTTGTCCTCCTCTTCCACATGGATCCTGCAGAACTCAGTGGTAGGTCAGCCCTCTCTTGGTTCTGCATGGGACAAGATGAGGACTCTACCAAAACCTTAATATCATCATAAAACAGAGAAGCCAGCATTCCCAATCCTAAAATGGTCTCTTATTTCACTGGAATTTTAATTACCTTCTAACAATTAACTCCTGAAAACTTGTTTGAATTTTACAGACTTGAAATTTTAGACAGCTACATTTATGGCTTGGCTTAGAGATGCATAAAATGGAATATATTTTCCAGAGTATCTTCCTTCCCAAATTCTCTTGAAACTAAAAGACTGTATGTACCCTGTCTCAGACAGCGAATTATCCAGGACTAGGATGTTGGTGAGAGACTTATCTTTACAAATATCTTACCTACTTCGCTTTTCCTTCGGCTGTGGGGGAAAAGGTGTCCAGACGGAGTTGTTACTTGCTGAGCTCCCTCTTCATGACAGGCATTGTGCTAGATGTTAAATATACATTATATCATTTAGTCTGTTCAATAACTTCATGCAGAATTCACTATTTTCCCATTGTAATCAAAGCAAACTGAATTCCAAAAGGTTAACTAAAATAGCTGAGACATGCTGGAAGTAAAGTCTTCATGGAGACTTGAACTCAGAGCTGAGATTCAAAGGCCATGTTCTCCCTCCAACACCACCCACAGCTCAAAGAGGTAGATAGACTGTCAAGCCAAGAAGTCTACTGCAAACCTTTTATCAACCTTGAATTAAATATAGCATTTCATTCCATTATAAATATGGACCAGTAGTCACTAATAGCCACAGCTATTCAGGTATTTGTAACTTCACCTCCAAAGAAACCTCAAATATTTTAATATCACAGTATAGTTGTTGTAGGTATCTTAAAATATTATTTGTATTCATCACTACTATGAAGTTATGAAACCATTATGTCTGTGCACTAGATCTTGTTTTTAATTCATTACTAAAACATATATCACAAATTTTCAACAATTTTGATTAATGTCTTCCAGTAGTATTGGTTTCTTTGAAGTTTTTTAAGTGTTTGATTTTATGTATTAAAAATGCTATTTTCAGGGTGCCTGGGTGGCTCAGTTAGTTAAGCATCCATCTCTGGATTTTGGCTCAGGTCATATCTCACGATCATGAGATGGAGTTTGGCAACCAGCTCCACACTAGGCATGGAGCCTGCTTAAGACCCTCTCCCTCTCCCTTTCTCTCTGCCCTTCTCCCTTCTGCTCAGGTACACGTGCACACTCTCTCTCGCCCTCTCAAAAAAAAAAAAAAAGTACTACTCTATAAAGGGGCCCATAGACTTCACAAGACCGCCCAAAAGTTCACAGCACTACTAAGATTAAAATACCTACCCAGGGCCATATAATTAGAAATATTTGAAGAAGCAATGACATACAAATTGGCTTTGTTTATTGTATTTTGATTGAACTAAGACAATTCTACTAATCAATAATCCCCAATCTGGGCACCACATACTTCTCAAGTAATTTCTCATAATACATACTCTTTTCGTTAACTTAGCAAGTCAGCCATTCACACTTGCATCATCAGAAGAAATCCAATTGTTCTCTGCTACTCCACCTGTTCCTAGATATCTCACCTTACACAGGGCAGGTCTGCGATAGGATGTCAGGGGCACCAGGAAAGAGTTTGTTTCTTCTACCTTCCTCCTCTACCAGATTCATGCTAATTATGGATGCTTGTAATTTCTTTATGAATTTAGGGTTTAGGAGGGCCCCTTGAAAAAGTTTTGTATCATTATTAGGGATAAGAGTTAATAGTCAAGTGCCCTCTCCAAGGGGGATGATGATTAACATTCACACAGAGGTATAAAAAGCACACAGTTTCTCCAAGGAAAATTTAAAAAAATATATGTTTATTTTAGAGAGAGAGCGTGAAAAGGGGAGGGGTAGAGAGAGAGAGGGAGACACAGAATCTGAAGCAGGCTCCAGGCTCTGAAATGTCAGCACAGGGCTCAACGCAGGGCTTGAACTCAAGAACCATGAGATCATGACCTGAGCTGAATTGGATGCTTAACAGACTAAGACACCCAGGCTCACCTCCAAGAAAAATTTAAATAGGAGAACTGTGCAATAAGAAAGAAGCATTGAGAAGGGAGGGAAAAGAGCACAGCAAGAGAAATAGGGCACCAAAGTCTCTCTCACAACTTTGCCCTAAACTTTGATGATTCACTTCAATTCTAGTTATTACAATTTCCAGTTCCTCGGTTTCCCATTTGCCAAGCAGGAGTGGTAATATGTGCTTGCCACTCATGTACTGGCTGTGTAGGGACGACTACCAGCCTCCTGGGCATCAAATGCTTTGCATTCAGTCAAGCAAATGTCACATGCCACAGTCAGTGCTGGAAAAACCATCTCTTCTTTATGATGGATGTCACCATGGCCTGTCCTTTCCTGCTAATAATGTAGTTCTTCGGTCTCTAGGCTTCCCACAACACAGGAAGACTGCAATTACATGTGTTTTTAGGCTGACTCATTTTCTAATGGTAACAATCAGTATTTAAGCTAATTAGGAAGATTCTTTTGATGTTCTTTATTTCATTCACAATTAGTCTCCTGCTCTTACGTGTGTGTGTGTGTGTGTGTGTGTGTGTGTGTGTGTGTTTAAATAAACTCCCAGCCAGTAGTGGGAGGAGAAAGAATCATTTCATTGTTCTCAATTTCTATCTGGTTTCAGAGAATTGCTCACCATCTGGCTATTTCTCACTTGAGGCACCTAAAGAGAGTTTGAGTTACTCTGAGCTGCCTCTGAATCCAGGTCCGGATGGGTACTTGACCTGAGAAAGGTCAAAAGTCCCAGAATGTTCTCTCTTTCTTTTGAGTCAATTCCCTGTTTCCGCCAAGTCCCTATCAAAATTCAAGTTGAACTTCCAGACTCTAGCGCTGGGCACAGATGACTTTAGCCATTAGCCAACTTCAGAGAGCAAGACCCTAAGGGAATGGACAAAGAGATGGGTAAAATTAGATGGGATGCAAAGTTTGCAGATTCTACTAGAGAAGGGTGAGGTAAAGGGTGCTCTTCAGGAAAGAGATAGGAGGACCCTACAGAGGTCTACAAAGGAGATGAGCCCTCCCAAAGAAAGTCTTTAGCACTTTAATTAACCACTGGCTTTTTAATCAAATGACTACTGTTCCATGGCTTGAAACAAGGGAACTTTGAACATTAGTCTCTAGGTGAATTTTTTTTTTTTGATGGACCACAGAGGTGGCTCAGTCAGTTAAGCATCTGACTTCAGCTTAGGTCATGATCTCATGGTTTGTGGGTTTGAGCCCTGCATTGGGCTCTGTGCTGACAGCTCAGAGCTTGGAGCCTGCTTCGGATTCTGTGTCTCCCTCTCTCTCTCTCTCTCTGTCTCTCCCCTGCTTGTGTTCTGTCTCTCTCTCAAAAATAAATAAACATTAAAAAAAAAAAAACAGGTCACAGAGGCAAAATTAGGGCCTGTCAATGTCAGCCTGGACAAGGAGGGTGGTTCTGGTCAGTGGCAAAACCGAAGATCAGACTATTCATAGGTTCTCCGGGATGGCCTGTGAATAGAATTCATTCAGCTATTCAGTTAACATGTAAGGCAAATGTATTCAAGCTACAGAGAACCCTAAGACGTGATCCTTCTCCTGAAGGTGCTCACCATCTGGCATGGGAATGAAATGCTTGGACCACTCACAGACACTGACAGAGCTTGGGTTAGTCTCTGTGAGTGAGATGTCACAGAGCATGGCAGATGACGCTCACCAAAAGCACACCTCTGAGCTCTCAGCAGGAAGCTCCATTTTCATTTAAAGTAACACCACAGATGGAAATCACTATCTTGTGTGTGCGGATGTGGCTAACAAAAATAAATAAATAAATATATAAAAAATCTCCTTTTCATTGCCTGTATGTGAAGACTGAAATTTGGTTTGCAGGTGCAAAAATTGCTTGCTGTTTCAGATGTCTGGGGGTTCCAGTTCACATTCTGAGCTGGGCTCCTAACTTGTTCACACAAAACTGTCAATTTTGGGGGTGCCTGGGTGGCTCAGTTAAGTGTCAGAAATTAGCTCAGGTCGTGGTCTCACGGTTCGTGAGTTCAAACCCTGCATTGGGCTCTGTGCTGACAACTCAGAGCTTGGAGCCTACTTTGGATTCGTGTCTCCCTCTCTCTCTGCCCCTCCCCAGCTCGCTCTCTCTCTCTCTCTCTCTCTCTCTCTCAAAAATAAATAAACATTAAGACGATTTTTTCAAAAGTCAATTTTCTAGGCAACTGTTGCGGCCCATCTTTACTTACCCCTGGGAATGCCTAAAGTCAATAACCATGGTCTATCATTTAAAATTATGGGTCAAACTGAGAAACAGACTCTTTAAAAAAAAAGTTTATTTGTTTTGAGAGAGAGAGCACAAGGGCGGGGGGGGGGTCGGGGAGGGAGGAACAGACAGAGAGGGAGAGAGAACCCCACGTAGGTTCTGCACCGCACTGTCAGTGCAGAGCCTGATGTAGGGCTCGAACCCACCAACTGTGAGATCATGACCTGAGCCAAAATCAAGAGTCAGATGAAACCAACTGAGCCACCCAGGCGCCCCTCAAGAAACAGACTGTTAACTATCGAGAACAAACTAATGGTTGCCAGAGGGGAGGTGGGTGAGGATATGCGTAAAATAGGTGATGACAATTAATTTTTTTAATGTTTTTTTAAGAATGAGAGAGAATTTAATGAATTTTTGAGAAAGAGAGAGAGAGAGAGAGAGAAGGCATGAGTAGGGGAGGGGCAATGACAGAGGGAGACACAGAATCCAAAGCAGGTTCCAGGCTCTGAGCCAGCACAGAGTCCAATGCGGGGCTCAAACTCCTGAACCCTGAGATCATGTCCTGAGCCAAAGTCAGACGCTTTACCGACTGAGCCACCCAGGCGGCCCCAGTGATGACGATTAAAGAGTGCACTCGTTGTGATGAGCACTGGGCGTTGTATGCAAGTGTTGAATCACTTAAATTGTACACCTGAAATTAATATTCACCATATGTGAACTACTGGAATTTAAATAAAAACTTATAAAGTAAAAAATAAAATTATGAGTCAAGATGTATTTTTTTTAACATGTGGGGGTTTTTTGTTTGTTTTGTTTTGTTTTAATTCTCTGCCTGGCTTTTATGTAGGCTCCTTCTTTCTCGACGTTCAGCTTTTCAGTTACACAGCTTCACCTCTTAGTCTACTAGCACACAGTATCACACACTGTTCCAGCATGAACACACCCCACCTTCCCCACCCCCACGTTGCTGAAGCTGTGACCATCCCCCCGTCGGCAGCGTGCCCTTCCCTCTCAGAGCTTCAAGCCACAGAGCTATCACCTCCCCGAACAGAATTATCTTCTTTCTCTTCTTTGCCTGGTGAAATCCTATTCATCCTTCACATCCCAGCTGAGGCATGACTGCCACCGTGACACCTCCGTCACTAAACGTCATTCCTCCTTGATGTTACCACATCTGCCCCCATCTCCATTGCAGTGCTAATATAGCACCCAGCTGTTTCTTTATGTGATTATCCGTCCAAAGAGGAAGTTATTTTTCAAGCATTTAGAATGGTTCCTGACAAAGAAATCACTGATGGATTAATGAAGCAATTAATAGCCTACTCCTCTGATAGAACTGTTTTTCAGAAAGCACCAATTGAGTAGTCGGATGACCTAAACTTGCCATTTTAAGCCATCCTTGTAGCTCAGCGATGAAGCTCACGTAAAGGATAAAAGTCTGGATGCGTATCTGTTACTTGAAGAAGCCTCAGAGGTCGTAGAAAAAATAAGACAGCTTCTCTACAGACCTCCAATTTGCTCTATAACCTGATTTAATCGAGGTCACGCACTCAGTCTAGAAGACAGAGCGAGCCACCCTGCACTGGATTCAGTTCAATGAGAGCAGCATGCAGGGACTGCCCTCATCACCTCTAACCTGCACCAATCATTGCCCAGAGGCAAGAGAGAAACTCAAGTCTTCATTGGTCCTTGGCAAACATTACTGAGCACTCCAAATAACCCCACCCTGCATTCAATCATTAACTGGTGGAGTCCTAAGCACTGACACTTGGAAAGGGTCTAGCAATCACCTCTTCTGACTTACCCCCAAAGGAGGAACCTTCTCTATTACATTTGGAGCAAATGGTCACCAATATCTGCTTAAAAACATCTACAGCCAGGAAGCTCCTTACTCTGTGAGGTACCTATGAACCTCTGCTGAGCAACTATGCAGATTAATGAGCAAAGACACATAAAGCACATAGTACCTGGTACAAAGTAATTGTTCAAGCAATTTGAGTTACTGGCATTTTTAATCATTATCAACTTTCAAATCCTTGGTTTTTTTTTGTTTGTTTGTTTTGTTTTTTTTTTTTTTTTGGCTGACAATTCCTTCTTTTTTTTAAGTTTTTTAATTTATTTTGAGAGAGAGAAAGAGAGTGAGTGGGGGAGGGGCCAAGAGAGAGGAGAGAGAATCCCAAGCAGGCTCCATACTGTCAGTGCAGAGCCTGACGTGGGGCTCGATCCCACAAACTGTGAGATCATGACCTGAGCTGAAATCAAGTCGGACGCTTAACCGACTGAGCCACCCAGGCACCCTGACAATTCCTTCTTTTAAGATAAACAATGTACAAGTGAGCAAAACGTTATGTCTAGTACACTTTGGTTTATACAAAATATAAAGAATCCTACACATATGTATGATGATGTGTATGAGTTTGTGTAACTATGCTTACAAAGCTTCTTGAAGGACTCCCTAGCTGCCACTGCAGATGATGCCCAACGTGAGAATGCGAATGCCCATGCCAAAGATGCGGTCTGTAGTCCTTTGATGCCAGAAAGCTCCTGGGCTCTGTGCCATAGGTGAGATGAAAAGCCCTCCACCCACTCTTAGGCTGTACAATACCACTTGGAGCTGGAAGCAATATGCTATATCCAGAGCCCTACAAAATCCATCATTCATCTAGCCAATCCAAGATGCTGGGTAGGGTGTCATCTTCCCATCTCCAACCTTTCCAAAGCTCAGCTACTAACTTCACTTGGAAAAAATGAGTACACACAAAATATTTTCACAAGAGTAAGTAACTATTTCTGTATCAGTAAATTTAGAAATTACCTAAAGGGCATGGTGTCTTCAGAGATCCAGCTCTGACTAGAACATAAACACCTTCCAACAATGTGACGTAGAGCAGTTTAGCTACTGAGAGCTATGGCTGTCAAACATACACTTTTCTAATTATGAGCCAAGCTCTGTAATTATAAAACCAACTACCCCAGTCCTGTGGTTTCCCTAACTAAAGAACTCTTTCTGCTGAAGGTGTGTTCGAGTCTCCAGCTCATGCAGATACATACACCTGCAGCTTTGAAATGACAGGTTGCTTTTGCCCTCACCTTCTACCTTTGCCATTCAGGTTTCAAAGATCTAAACCCTAAGACAGAAGAGTCACGTTTCAGTCAGAACTTATATCCTGGGTATTCATGTTCTCTTCCCCAGGAATTTCTGCAAGAAGCCTGCGAATGAAATCTTAGCTTGGCTACCCAGTCATCTCATACGTATTCATTAGTTCATCATATAACATTTTGAGTACCTGTTTTACATAAGCCATAATATACCCTTCACTATTGCCTCTCCTGGATATATTTCAATTCATGGAATACATAAATGTGGAAAATCATGCACAGTTCCCCTCCCACCAACTTCGTTAACATTCTGTTTTGCTTATTTTTAATTATCATAAATTTTTTTTTCTGAATTTAAGATAGAAATAAATGCAAAGGCCTGTATGTTACTGTTATTTAAGAGGAAAAGACTATACATAAATATATGCTCATAGAGACATGAAACATTTCTAGAAGAAACTGATGTTAGTGATGCCTCTGAGGAGAGAAGGTAGGTAGCTTAGCAATAAGGTAAAATCCTAGGTGATGAGACGAAAACAACGTAAAATCCTGTTTCTGTCCTGGGTCCCTGAAGAAGCAAATTTTGAAAAGCAAACACATGCTTACCGTTTTATGTTCTTCTACACTTTTTCAATCTTGAACGATGTTCATGTGTTGAGAATTCAGAAAAATCATAAATATTGCACAACACTGACCTAATCTTAGTAAATTTATAATTAACTTTTGAATAAAAAATTCTGAGGTCAGCTCTTAGTTGACCTAGAGATTCTTAGATTTTTTTTTGTCTCCTATCATTAACAAAAACCCCCAAGCCCTATCTCCCAACCCACCAAAGAAATTACCAATTCCTCACTTATGGTAAATAAGTAAGTATATTACTTTCCTATTGCCAATATAAAAAATTACCACAAACTTCATGTCTTAAAACAACACAAATTTCTTTTCTTATAGTTCTGGAGGTCAGAAGTCTGGCATGGGTCTCACAGAGCTAAAATCAAAATGTAGCAGGGCTGCAATTCTTTCTTGAGGTTATAGAAGAAGAATCCATTTCTTTGCCTTTTACAGCTTCTAAAAGGTAGTCACAATTCTAGGCTTGTGGTTCTTTCCATCTGTAAAGACTGCAATGGCTGGTCAAATCTTTCTCCTATTTTATGATTCTAATGCCCTTCTGACTCCCAATTCCACTTTCACACTGGGTCCTCCCAAATAACTCAGGATAGTCTCCGAATGTTAAGGTCAGTGCATTAGAAATCTTGATTCCACCTGCAACCTTAATTCACCCTTGCCATGTAACATAACATATCCACAGCCTTCAAGATTAGGGCATAAACATCTCTGGGTGGGCACTATTCTGCCTACCACAGTAAGTAGATTACATAGATATGTACATACATCCATACATTACATACATAGAGGTTCTGAAGAGATATGGCTTCTTCCATAGGATGGCTTTTTACATTAGAAAACATAACATTCAAAATCCTTGTCTGAAATAAGTGCTTTTGGATTCCTTTGGCACTGTTGGGAACCATTCCAAGACATATAAGGAAGTAGTTGTGACAGTCTGTAAATATATGCTCTGCAGCCTGACTTCCTGGTCTCAAATCCCAGGTCTACCCCTTACACTGTATGACTTGTACCTCAGTTTCCTCATTCATAGAATGAAGTTAGTATTTAGTACCTATATCACAAGGTTGTTATGAGGCTTAAATGAGTTACTACCATTTAGAAAAGTGCCGCACATAATAAGAAATCAATACATGCGACTTAGTTTGACTTGATTCACACCTGCATGACTCAGAGTGCCCACAAAAGAATCCCTCCCAGAACACAGAAATGGTCAGCCCCAAATCCTGTCTCTGTCCTAGGAGCACTGAGAAGAAAATATTGATAATATTTTAAAATCCACCTTTAAAATCCACTGCCATCTAGTTTTTTACTTTTGACTTACCAAACTGAAAGTTAAAATAACAGCCTATCCAGAAAAACATCAGGTAAGAACCTGGTAAGCCTACTAGTTTTCTGCTATGGGTTATATGGATTGAGACAGTCTTTGACCTTAAGGAAATTGCCACGCAATGGGTAGGCACTACAAACAAAGACAGAGCATAATTAAACAAATTTAACAAAAAGATACATTTCTACAGCCTCAGAAAACTCGGATCTAATAAAGCGAAGGAAGTGGCTCTCCATTTTGTTCTGTTTGCTCCCAATGTCCTAAGTCTGAAAACTCTGTATAGCAATTCTCATAGCTAACACCAAGGAAATAGAACACACGTGTCATTTAAGGTACCAACTTTGGAACTATAGCCACTCGGTGGGACCAAACTACCTATCACCAATCCTTTAGAAAACTTTTCCTCTAGTTTCTAGGGATTGTTTCTGGGAAATAGCTAAAAAGATAGCTAATTCATCCCTCTTCACCCCTCTGGATTGATCATGCTAAAGGATTACCCAGTGCACAAAGCTCAAAGACAATTACAGGAGCACACGGTACTTAGTCCAACAACTAAACAGTACTTAAAACATAAAGATTACACTGAAAACCCTTTGGAGTTTTGTGATTAGAATGTTGTAACGGCCTATGCTCATTCCTGCAAAATTACTGCCAAATTTGAGTCAGTAAATCTATTTATTCTCCTTTCAAGTATTTTGGCAGCCACTCCACCATATAATTTAAAGCGCTAAGAAAACTGACGATACCTGAATGTCAACACCATGGAAAAGGAATGCACACTTGATAGTCTGTACTTCATCGTGATTATCAAATGAAATTCAATTTTATATTATCAAAGATGGCAATTTCTCTCAATGTGATAAGCTATATAATTAATGACCTCAGGAGAAATTAAATACTAGCCTGCTAAGTATACAATTAAATCCAGTCTTCAGCCATTCCATAATTTTCATTACCCCTATGGAAACATTCTGGACTAGCAGCCTTTTAAGTTTTCTATATGCAAGATGAAATTTCGTTCAGTGGGAATAATACAGCCAGAATCTATACAACCAGAATCTAAAAAGGTTTAGTAAGATTTGTCTGTAGCTCCCATTTACAAATATCAAAGTTATAAAGCATTTTGGCTGGTAATGTCACATTTATTGGGATTTAGGTTAATCAGATTATAAGCACTTCTAAGTGAACAACATTTTTTTCTCTTTGCTCAGAAATTGTCCAACATCTCTGGTTCAGTGAGGAGAGAAGAAAAGTTTTGTCAAAGAGGCTGAGAATCTAAACCAAACAAGATGCTATGTGACCACAGTAGAAGTCCTCATGCTGACTGTTTTATTTTTTTCTTTTAATTTGTGTCCATTTATTCAGTCAAAGTGAGTTTTTGGTGAGATTAAAAAATAAATAAATAAATCACACCTGAATTTCTGCATTCATTAAGAAGGAATTAAGCGTCACCCTTTAAGTGTCAGGCACTGTTCTAACAACTGGGTATACGTACCTAAGGGACACGTCCAAAGAAAGGCATCATCAGGATTCCAAATGTTGGGCAATGGCTAAAAGTGAGTGCTTGAGAGTAGCTGAAATGTCTGTTGAAGAAAAGAGAAAAAGTGCCGTATTCCAGGAGTACGGTCCAGCCAACTAATTTTTTAAAAGAACTGCCATTAAAAATAATTGTAAATTAATTACAAAACTGAAGACAAGGCAACGATGTACAGCACACAAGATAAGGCCAAAAAGAAAACTGACAGAAAGTGGTCAGCAAATACAAAATAAAGAATGGGCACAAAGAAACCCAGACTAGAAACTTCTAGGGGTGAACGAGAATCTTTGGAGAAGTAAATCTGATGATTTTGAATATGTCCATCTCATCTGGCTGTGTTTATAAAAAGGGGAAAAAAATGATGAACTTGGGATTGTTTCCCCTCATACTGCAATCAATAGAAACTTCCTTTTCGCAATGAGACTTTAAACAATTAGGGAAACATTTTGGTTTCCAGCTAATGGATTTAATAGTGATTGCCATTGCAGGAAAAGCACTTCATCCAATTGTAGACATGCCAAAGGTGGAAGAGAGGGAGGCAGAAGACGCATAAACTGCACTAAAGGCCCTCACAGCTGGCTTTGAGTCACTGAGAAAATAATATCCTTCCTCTAATAATCCCTTAAAGACTTGGGTTTGCTTTTGTGCACGATGAGAATGTGCTGGCCTAAGAACAACTGTTGTTTCAGCACTTGAACATCAGGGACCTAGATGTTCTATTTACTGTACCGATGCCAGGCATTCCTAAGTAATATGTGAGCTGACCTTGAGAAAATATACATATAGTGGAGGTTCAAATACTTACATACCAGTATCTAGTTAATGGCATATTCAATCCTCCCACATTTTTTCCTAATTCTCCTCATCCTAGGGTCTCTAAGTATTTTCTGATTCCCTGGCTCTTCACCAGAGCAAAGTTGGGCAGAGAAAGGAAAAATACCCTGGGTCACCCACACTAGCGCTGTAAGTAATCTGTTAAATTTGGGGCCTGCTTTTCCAGAATTAACCCTCACATCTGCTTGCACCGGTGCCATATTATTTTATTTTATTTTATTTTATTTTATTTTATTTTATTTTTTTTTAATTTTGGCTTTTTTTTTTTTTTTTTTTTACTTTTTTTTGTGGGGGCGGGACAGAGAGAGACAGAACATGAACGGGGGAGGGGCAGAGAGAGAGGGAGACACAGAATCGGAAACAGGCTCCAGGCTCCGAGCCATCAGCCCAGAGCCTGACGCGGGGCTCGAACTCACGGACCGCGAGATCGTGACCTGGCTGAAGTCGGACGCTTAACCGACTGCGCCACCCAGGCGCCCCGCCATATTATTTTAAATACATTCAACTTATAGCCTTGCTTTATGTATGCATCAATATTTCAACTGACCTACAAATGTCAGCATATAAAAATTTGCTATTATAAATACTGATGTTAATATGATATAGGAGGATGATAATTAAGCTTGGATAATTTTATGAATTAAAGATAATGGGCATTGAACCAATAAGGCACATTTATGCATTATGTATTTGCTAAATTAATTTCTTGCCTACTTTCTTAACATAATATTCAAGTGCCCTGTCTATTGATTTTGTTATGAGATTATGCCATTTGTCGTGTGAACAAACTGTACTTCTATTTTTTTAAGTAAAATTCACATTTTATTGAAATAAACTCTACAAAATTGATTTTCTTCACCAAAAATAACAGCAATATTTTCTGTATTATTCCTAGATACACCAAAAAACACTTGTTTTTGTAGGTTTTCCAGGTTTTGCTTATAAATCAAGATGAGGCAGTAGATATAGTCATGAAAAAGATAGAGGAAAACAGACAAATCAGTTGTCAGTATCCATGTCCTCTGATCTTGACCATGAAATAGAGGTGTTCAACAAACACCTGATAAAAAGCTTATGAAGATGTAGGCTCAACAAAGGACTACAAACAGCAACAACCTAATGTGCACCAACAATGGCAGGCTCGCCTATTCAAACTGTAACTGTAACTTGTTCCTTTAGGTTCATTTGATAAAGACAAAATCTACACTGAAATCCTTGCTTGGCAAGCTCACCTGTTCTCCATTCTCTCTATATATATCTCTCTCTGGCTGTCTGGTAACTCTCTTAACTGTCCATTACAGATTTTTAACAAACTTCACACTCCAGGTCACTTGTGAGCTTCATCGTAACATTTTATACAATGTATTCCTTTCTCCCACACCTCTTCAAAATCTATTTCTTCCAAGAACTGATAACTCAATACCTGACAACTGGATCCAGTGATAATAAATGTTGTGTCTAAA